GGCCGCCGCCGCCGCCGCTGCAGCCGCTGCGGCCGCCGCCATCTGGCAGGAGGCGTAGGGCATGGGCGAGGGCGGCTGCGGCAGCGGCCACGAGTTATTGAGGAAACCCGACTGCAGGTACTTGGGGGGCGCCAGGTAGCCGTAGCCGTCGGCCCCTGCACCCGCCACGCCGCAGCCGCCCGCCGCGCCCCCGGCCCCGAAGAGCCCTTTACCCGGCTGGAAGTGCGCGGGCGGCGGGCGGAAGGGCCGCTTCATGCGGCGGCGGCGCCGGTAGTTGCCCTTCTCGAACATGTCCTCGCAGGCCGGGTCCAGCGTCCAGTAGTTGCCCTTGCGCTCGCCGCCGCCCTCGCGCGGCACCTTGATGAAACACTCGTTGAGGCTGAGGTTGTGTCGGATGCTATTCTGCCAGCCCTTCTTGTTCTTCTCGTAGAACGGGAACTTGGCGATGATGTACTGGTAGATGCCGGAGAGCGTGAGCCTCTTCTCCGCGCTCTCGCGGATCGCCATGGCGATGAGCGCCACGTAGGAGTACGGGGGCTTCTGCGCTGGGTCCGGCTTCTCCGAGGCCGTCCCTCCGCCGCCCTTGCCCGGACTTGGCGGCGGCGCCTCGGGCTCCTTGACTGCGCGGCCAGTGTCCGGGGCCAGCAGGGCCCCTGCGGCGTCCTCGGGCTCGGGGTAGCTGGCCATCATGACAAAGGCGCCGCGCCGCGGCCGGGCCACCCCGCTTCCCTCTCCGGGTGCCGGCTTCGCGAAGTCGGGGTGCACAAGTCCTCCCGCGGCCGAGTCCCAAACTTCTGGAGACTGCGGATGCTGCCTGCCGAAGGCCTGGTCTGCTCACGCTCTTCTTTCTCTTCCCCTAGGGAGCGGCTGGCGGGAGTGGAACTCAGCCTCTGGCCATGGGGCGTCTGCCCAACGGAGAGGGGCTCCGGCCCCGCCGCCCCTCCCCGCTAGGCCAGTCCCCGCCTCGGTGGGTTTTCTTTTCTGCGTTCCCCTCCCCCACCCCCGGTTTCCCGAGCCACGACCCGCGTCTCTGGCGGAGCTGCCTCCTGGAGTCCCTAGTGCGCCAGGAGCCTCGCTCTGTTCTGATTCGTATGGGCTCCGCCGAGTTCCGCTTGCGTCAGGCGCCTTCGCCCCTATAGCGGGGCCGCCAGCCGCGCACGGGCGAGTTCATCTCCAAGTCACTTTTTGTAAACGCCCCGCACAGCCCGGACCGGTCTGCCCCCGCTCGGCGAGCCTCGGGGGCCCAGCAGACAGCCGTGCTCAGCTCTCACGAGCCCTTGGAATCTGCCGGTGCTTGCTCTGTGGACAGGGCCGGGAGATGCCGAGAGCCCCGGAGGGGGCCGCCTGTGCCCGCCGAGTGCCCCGAGCTCGGGCGCCAGCTAGGAGAGGCCCTCCAAGCCTCCTCACAGCTTTCAGGTGAAAGAAAACGACTCTTTTGTGATGCCCTTTGCTGAGGGCTGGGGGCTAAACTTCTAGATTAGGACGGGGGAGGAGCGACGCGGTGAGGGGGCCTTACAAGGGTGGCGAGAAGAGAGCTTCGCGGTTGCTTGGGGGAAAACTAGCCCAGAAACGTGTGTCATTAAAGAAATCTCGGTCTGCCTGTCCCTTGCTTTCTCAGAGCGACTGGGCGGAATTGGGGCTCGGGAGAGAATCGCTGGGAGGAGGTGCCCAGGGTCGCTGCCTGAACTGCCTCTGAACCAAGTCCCTCTTCGGAATCCTCGTGGTAGCCCACCCAGTTGGGTGTGTGCTGCAACAATACCACATAGACGTGCCTTTGCTCCTGCACTGACATAGATGAGGATACCGCCGGGCTTTGGGGATGATAGATATGCCTGCACAGGTGTTACATATGGAAGACGTGGGGAGGAGCTGTCCTTTCCCTGTGTGAGATGCGAGCTGTCCAGGTGCACAGGTACGCACAGATACAAGCCTTGAGGTTTACATTTATGAGGAACAACAATTTATGAGGAACAACAACTTTATACCAATATTTGTATATGTGTATCAGGTATCAGGGTTCAGTGTAGTTTCATGGTTATAGCATTGTCTCTCCTTTTCTCCTTTTTTTATCTTTCACATTTCATCTCTGCCTTTTTCCTGCTCAATGCACATAATTCTGTCATAGATTTGGAAGAAAAACAACAGGCTGAAGGAAGCACTTGTTCAAATCTCTCTCTTAATGAGACATTGGTTCTGATCTTTCTCCAAAGGTTCAGGAGTAAGATGTGATCTACCTTCAGCAGAAGTCTGATTGGGACCTGGTTACATCAGCCTATTACAGAGATAGTCTGAGGAGATCTGTGCTGGCATCAAAGTCAGGTGTGCCTTCTAACAATATGCTTTTCCCCTTAGCCTTAATAAAAAGTTTGCAATCATAAAGGGATATTTTGAATCCTCAAGCCCCAAACTCATAGGTACAGGGGTGGGGAGAGGATGCTCTGTGGAGAAAGGTGTTCTGAATGTATGTCATGCAGGTGTGCACTAGTGATTGGCACATCTGGAGTGGCCAGCCCTGTGCCTGTCATTCCTCTTCCTCCCAGGATGCCTCGTCTCACCGAGTTCTCCGGAAGCTCCAGGAGCCCCCAGTAGCCTTTCATAGGCCACTGCCGCACATGCTGTCTGCTTCTGTGGCTCTGATCCATGTTCTGAGATGAAAGAAAGGGGGGCAGGGTGCTGGGGTGCTTTGGAATTCAGTATCTTGAAGATGATTCCAGAGAGGTCAGTAGGGCATCCCTCGCCTGACCACCAGGGAGAGAGGAAGTCAGGTTCTTCTGAACCCTTCTCACTCGGTCCTGGCCTCCACCCCTTATTGGAAACATCCCAAGGTAGCTTGTTCCCCCTCCACTGCCCCGGGCATTCACTGGGCAAGCAGCAGCACTTCTCCAAAATCTTCATGGCTGCTTTCTGAGCAGGAGTCAGGTGTTTTTCTTCTTCTTCCCTCCCATCTGTGCCCAGACTATGGGCAGGAGAGGTGAGTCAGGTTTGGGCTGCTGCAGATGGGCTCCTCTGGCCTGAGCAGTGGGGCAACAGCTGGGTCTGGCCCCATCCTGGTGGGGGCTGCTTTCTCTTTTCCCTCTTTTTTTCTGGCCACCCAGGCTGGCCTCTCAGCTCCCCTCCTCCCCGGCATTTCCGCTGCTCAGCTCCGCTGCAGCCAGGTGTAACAGCATTGTTGTGTGTGTCATCACTTCCCTGAATTCCACACTCGGCTCCCTTTTCAGCCTTTAAGGAGTTTGTGTGCATGGGGAGGGGGTAGGGGCAAAGGAAAGAATCCCTCTAAAGGATTTTCTGAGTGTTAAGAATGGGAGACCTGCTCTACCAGGTATTGACTTCTACCAGGAATAGAACCCCTAACCCAGATGGAGACAGGGTGCCTCTAGCAAGCACACTAGCAGGAGTTGAAATTAGTGTCCACACTGTGTGTTCACATGGCCGTCAGGCATTGGGAAGCTGGTAAAACAAGTGGTGCTGTGCTTGCCACTAGGGTTGCTCTGTCCTGAGGGCGATTTTAGGGATTTGAAATTGGGAAGACTTAAAGGAGGGCAGAGACTTGTTTAGGCTGGAGTTTAGGCCGAGGTGGATGAGGCAGGTGCTCTGGATGCTGCTGATCAGCTTTGGTTTACTTAGCTCCCTTGGGCAGCTGGGTAGGTCCGCTTCCTGGGGAGGTCGGATCCTGTCAGGCAGTGCATCTGGGCCCAGAACCACTATTTCTCTGCAGCACTGCAAGAAACAGGGCCCAGGGCAGCCCCCCTCACCACAGTCTTAAGCCTAGCAGAGCTTGAGGCCTCTGCTACTCAGGTTTTCAGAGATCCTCAGATACAACTCCGGAGCCAAGGCGCCTCCTGCCTACTGCCTGTGCGCGATGCGCCAGGGAAGTGCTGGGAGAGCAGAGAGTGAACAGCTTGGCCTCTGCTGTCAAGCCTTCCCAAACGCTGGCTCCACGCAATGGAGACACAGGCCCCTGTCACTGGCGATCTACTTGAGATGAAGCAAGCAGTTTTTTTTTTTCCTGCTGGGGCAGGAATCCTGCAGCAGCGGCAGGAGGCTGCTGGTTTGGCCAAGCATAGGTAGCCAGGGTCCATGAGGCAGGCAGACTCTTCTGGGCATCAATCTGTTTGCCTGGAGCTGTTGCCAAGCCAGGTCCCCAGGTTTCCTTTCTTACCAGAGGGTGGGGTGGCATGGGACTGAAATACTCTTTAGCTTTAGGCTCTTGCTCAGGGAGAGGTCTGCAGCTCGGTGCTTATGGGCACAGCCTCCACAGGGCACATGGCTAGAAAAGCTTCAGTATGGTGGTTAGCACTTCCTCCACATCTCCACAACTGTGGCACTTAGTGGCCTTCCTGTAGTCTCATCCTGATACCTTGTGGGCACAGAGTCTGTGCTGGTCACATTTCTCTATTAGTTCTCTCTCCCACTCTTAGTCAACCCTGAATCAGTCCCCTTTAGGTTTCCAGCTACAACTGGGCCACACTTACCTGTCACACATGCTGCTTCAGATCCTGAACATTTTAGTGGAAGACAGGCCACACTGCTGCCTGGACTCTTGGCCACTCTGCCCCCAGCATCCCCACCCATCTTGTGCTGCAGAATAATCTCTTGGCTCCTTGTCTGCCTGTCTGACTCCCTTGGGCCTTTGGAGAGTGACCCCCTCCCCATCCCTGCTGTGCTCCCCATGTTCAGTTTCTCTTGAAGCTCAGTTACATAGCATGCACCTGATGGGTTAACGGGCCCTGCACCCTGGCTTCCTCTTCGTTTTGCAGCTCTGCTGGAGGCTGAGACTGGCAGGCTGCAGCCCATGGGGACCAACAGCTCTTGTGCACACACCCACACGGTGCCAGGCCTGAGGCCAGCATGTGTTAGTCAGCCTGGTTGGGATTAGCAGAGTCATTTTCCCAAGTATATGTTTGGGAGAGAAAGTTGGAGATAGTAGGTGAAGTAGAAAGAGAGAAAGAGAGTGAGAGAAAAAAGAAACCACTCACCCCAGTACTGGTCAGGGAAACTTGGAGATGAGGGCTGTTTCCAGCTGGTAGATGTCTTGTTGAGCCCCTGCCCCTTCCCATTGGTGCTGGGCTAGGAGGCAGCAACCCAGGCCTCTGTGTTTCTTCTGTTTTATTTGAGATAAGATTTTGCTATGTTGCCTAGGCTAATCATGTAACTGTGGCCTTGCATAACTCTCCTACCTCTGTGTTTGGGTTATTTGGGACTATAGGCACCTGCCCCTGTGCCAGGCTTTGGTTCCTTCTTACCTCGCTGATGTGATATTAGGTTATAAGTTCACCAGTGTCTTTTTGCCCCTAGGAGTGTATACCCCCCTCTGTCAGGGCAGTAGGTCTTTCTCCCAGTGGAGGCTAATGCAGAGAGTAAGGACAGTGGGGGCTTGAGGGCTTCCTTCCTCCAAAGACCTCTGGGATGTCCAGGAGAGAGAATTCCTAGAGAGGTATCCTCTGATATCGCCTATGACTTCCATGGCCCGAAGCCATTTTGTTTATTGTTGAACAGGGTATGACTTGCTGTGAGACCCCAATCCTTGCTTAGGAGTGTGATGCATTTTAATAAGTTGCCCTGTTGCCTTTCTTTCTCCACACCCAGAACATAAGCCTGGATGGGCAGAGCCTGTGTCCCAGGTCTCAGGGTCTCCCACAGGGCGTTCTCCCACCTTGTAATAGAACCAGATGGTGGTTCTGTTCCACAGGGAGAGTTAGGAAATGCTACTTGTAATAGAGCTACAATTTCTGAGAAAGCAACTGCAGGTAAGGAAGAGTGGCTGAACCCCTGAAGGTCAGCTCAGGTGCTGACAGTCTTCTGTTATTTGTGAGTACCTGCACCTGGCAGCTGCACAGCCATGCTGCTGAATCTTAGTCAAGAACAAAGACAGATCTCTAGGGGCTGGGTAGATGGCTCAGTAGAATAAGTGCTTCCCTGGCAAGCTCAAGGGTCTGAGTTCAATCCTCAGTTCTGAGAAAAAAAAAAAAAAA